AAAAGATTTTAATTGTTTTATAAAACTTTTTTGACATATTTTGACAACTAGGTCAACATTTTTGTATGTAATTTTCATTTTGACTGACATGACATAAGCAAATGTTAATGTTATAAAACAGCAAAGAGTTGTATGAAAGCAGTTGATGCATGTCCAAAAGCATTTGCAATGTGTTGGAAGAAATGAGAAACTGCTAGTATGATGTGCACAAATGACTAAGTGTTTTGAGAAATGCATTAACTCTTGTGCAAATGTAAATAGTGTAGTGAGAAATGCACCAAAGTCACTGAGAAAAACTGTAATATTTTAAATGTATATTTGACATGGGCAATTCACATATAGTGTATTCATAACTGCACATTAAACTGGTATACAGTAGAAAGTGGTTTAAAGATATCTCCTTTTCGAGTGTAAGGGTTTATAAGCAGCAGAATCAACATAGTTGGGTAAACTTAAAGAGCAGTGAATGAGTACCACAAATAATAATAACAAAATGCATTCCAATTTGCTGAAATAAAAAAGAAAAAGTCCACACTATTATTTGTTAAAATTTAAATTCAAATTGGTGAAGTTTGTTCCTTGCCACTGTCACTGCTGACTTGCTTGGTTTGGGACATGTGAAGCTGCACATCGATTGATTTGCTCTTCAGTGTTTGGACTTTCAGCAGTGAAAATTAAACCACACTGAACTGAACTAAACTGAACCTCAACTCTGAAAACTGGACTGACACAGTTTCAGTTTACTAGAACTGCTATGTTAAGTTGCTTTGACACAATACACATTGTGAAAGCACTATAGAAATAAACATGAATTGAACTGAATTTTCACAACTTTTAAAAAAGAGTGAGATTTATAATGGCAGCCAGAACAGAGAACAATATAAAATTTACTGTCCCATCCATAGCCACTGCATTAGAAACACCTGACATAAGTGTTAACCACTTTTTATGTAATTGTATTAAAAAATATATATATATATATCTAAATCTTAAAACTTTCAAGGTTTCAACTTTTGTGTCATCACTTCTTTTGAATAGGGTCTATTGTTTCAAACACACTTTGGTGGCGTTCTGAGAAGGCCATAAGGCTGCACCCCACTCTCTGAGTGACACCATGACTAATACATACACAGATAAACACCATCTATGACAAACATGATAAGAGTGCGGCACAAAACTCGCTGACAAACACCCCCAGATCCACTTCCCCATGGAAACGCTGACACATACTGACTGATGGATGTCTCCATGGATACCTGTCACCGTGGAGACAGACACCATGTCTCTCTCAGCGCAGTGCCATCAGAATCAAAGCGGGCGAGTAAAGCAGCAGGGAGGGAGGTATGGAGAGATGGACATGAACAGAGGAGAGCAGAAGAAAAGCTGCGTTTATCTGACAGCCAATGCTGCAGTGCTTTCTTTGGAGGTCTCCTCCCTCATGTGAACCTGTCGGCTTGTTTCACTGTTCTGTAGGTGGACATATTCATCTCTGTCCATTCTCTTCTCTGTCCACCTCCTCCCTCATTCAGCTCTCTCTCTCTCTCTCTCTCCATCACTTCAGGGGCGAGGCTACAGACAGGCTGATTTACCACCCCATAGAAAATCAATTAAATTACACTTTTAGCTTTAGCTTGTACATTTTTCCCAATTGATTATTGGCTATTTGAGTGTCAACAGTCAGCACTGTATAATGGGGAGTCAGTCTAAGCTGCAAGATTAAGTCCAAGTTGTTGTCTGAAAACAGACTAAACATAGTTCAAAAGTATCAAGTTCCTAATTAGGTAAAATACCACAGAAAAAGGGGATTTAAACCAGTTTTCCACATTTTCAATGTAAAGCCTTACCTAGGGCATAGGGTTGGGTGATATTGCAAAAAAAAAAAAAAAAATCACGATATCATGTTTTATATCATTCGATATTAGTAATTATTGAATATTTTGTAACAATACATTTGGGAATATTAGGATTTAAAAAAAACATTTTATTATAATTTACCAACATTCCTAAAGCAAAAAGGTTTAATTAGTCAAAAACATTTAAACAAAACGTCTGATCTCCTTATAATAAAACAAACATGAGTGTTAAAGAGACTCTTAAACTTGATAAATAAAATGTTACAAAGTGTGAACGTTGGTAAAGGTAGATCAGCATCTGTAAGGTGTCAATAATAATGATACAGTAAACCTCAAACCCTTTCAACAACACAAATTAAGATAGTCAAATCTGAGCTTTTAGGTAAAGGAACCAGCCATCATTATTCAAATACATACTGCAATATTACAAATTGTGAAGTTGATTGACTACATTACCCCCTATGCAAAATAAACTTTAAGATGGGGAGCTAGTGGCTGGGATGCACAAGAAAAGAAATCAAAAAGCCTCTCTGGCGAAATCCTTACATTATTTTTAATTTACAAACTCCTCACTGCTGCTATACGGCACTTATTTATGCGCGTGTTGTTATTCTGACCTAAAGTGGTGAGTGTGTGGCTTCTTTCACCATTTTCTATGGCGTCTCTCGTAACTAGATAATCATCAAACGTTGTCTCAGAGGATGACAAATGGACAACCCATTGCTGCAGCACTGATGCAAGTTTATGGAGAAAAGTAAAAAGCGCTGCAGTGTTTGGATGAGCTGTGTTTGAGGTAATTAGTCTGCCATTAGTAAAATGTGTACATTCTGTTCAAAATGTAAAGCAGATTGGTCAGTTCTACTTACATGAATCGCAGTGTGCTCGCAGCATTTGAAAAAGTTCTTATGTTTTTTTAACTAGGTGTACCTGGAAAATGGCTGAGTGTCATGTGTGCGCCGGCTCCATTAAAAATGACAAACCCAACACCCTAAGCTTATTGGCATTGCTTCAAAGGTGCATGCTAAGGAGCCACATTTTAATATAACTATTGTGCTTCATACTGACCTTTTTATTTATCAATATTAACAATGGTGTTCAGTCAATAAATACCGATACCGATTTTATTGGACAGCCCTACTAGGGCACAACCATAAAAAACTGTTTCAACAGGGCAGTAGGTATTTAGAGCTGTAATATTTTTACTCACTCTGCCAACATTTTTCCCAGGAGCCTTCATTATTTAAATTAATTATCAATAAAAAAATTAGCAATGAATGCATGGAAAATAATCTCATTAAATGAGAGGTTACAAAGTTGCATTATTTTCAAATAAAAATATCTATTTTTTAACAAACTAACAATTTTCAATAACACACTTCCCAGCCTGCCCTAAGTAGTACCACGGGAAGGACTACTTTAAAGCAGGAGGGGGCCGACTCAAGTCATACAAAGATAAAGAATGGGAGGGGGGTGTGGGGTCATTGGAAGATGAAGAGCAGGGGCAGTCATAAGAAGATGAAAGGGGGTGGTCGCTGCCATTTCTGGGATATATCTTATTGGCGGGCATCTGGTATTCACCCCTATGAATATGCAGGAGACTTGGGAAGTCAGTTTAATAAAATAAAGATGTTCAATAAGCTTGAAATTCTACAGCTACAATGTAACTACAAAATTGCTTGATACTCATCTGAATATTTCCTACCACCGGTGTGATTTGATTAACTTATGATGCAACTCTACAACAAATCAACCACTACACATTTTAAATTTCTTATTTATTTTACAAATAAGTGGTAATTGAATTGATATACAGAACATCTATGGATACAAGTGTAACCCTGGTCCTATACCGCCCGCTCTGAGCTGGGATTGAACCGGCAACCTTCCACATGGCAATTGGTTACTCTAACGAGGAGGCTAAAGACCATGTGCACTAGCGTCTGTCGCTATAGCATCTTTACAGGTCAGAGGAGTGAGGTTTACTTGCTCAGCAATTCACTAGCTGGCCTCTGCTACACTCACCCCCCTAAACCTCACTCCCATTCAGGTCACGGCACCAATGTAAACCCCCTGGTACTATACTACCCAACTCACTCTGAGGTGGGATTGAATTGGCTACCTTCCGCATCAGACTCGGTTGCTCTACCAAGGAGGCTAAAGACCATGGCATCCTTATGTAAGGCTTCTAGCATCTGAGCACTTTAAAGGTGGCCTTTGTTACACAAATTTCAAAGAAAAGTGGCATTGGACTAATAAACCCTCACACTTCTTTTAGCACATGCTTTTTATGTCTAGTTAATAATTAATAACAATTCCTTGCATTAATACAGCACTTTTCTGGACACTCAAGCACTTTGCACATTTTTGGTGGGAATCTCTTCATCCTCCACAAGTGTGCAGCATCCACCTGGATGATGCAATGGCAGCCATATTGCGCCAGATCGCACACCATTGAGGAGGCCATGATGGACAGAGGTCAGTGGGCAAATTTGTCCAGCATGCCAGGATTAAACCTCTACTCTTTTTCAAAGGACATCCTGGGATTTTTAACGACCACAGAGAGTCAGGACCTCAGTTTAACATCTCATCCAAAAGACGGCACTCACTGAGCAGTACAGAGTCCTCATCATTATACTGGGGCATTAGAACCCACACAGACTGCAGGTTGAGCGCCCCCTGCTGGTCTCACTAACACCACTTCCGCCAGTAGTTTTCCCACGTGGTCTACCATTCAGGTACTGATCAGGCACAGCCCTGCTTAGCTTCAGTGGGTAACCATGTGAGAGTTGCAGAGAGCTAGCCACCAGTTACATCTAGACATACAAATCTGGTTGACTTCTTAAATAAAAGTAAATGAAAGTATAACAGCCATCATTTCACTAGATTTTAGATTTGGTCATTTTCAAAGCAACTTTTATAATTTGCTTTCCTCTCGCATAATCTTCAGTTGCCCACACAGAACATCTCCAAATGCCCACCCCAGGATGTTCTCCCATTAACAGCAGCGCATCACTCTCCAGACCCTCCTGAAAGCCCCTATTCTGTAGCTCATGGCAGCTTCTCTTCAATGCTCTCCTTCCATCAGTCTCTCTCCCACACTGGGTGAAATGTAGAGCCTGGGGTTGCTATAGTAACAGGCTCACTCACCATCTTGCGTGTCACCATCACAGGAGCTCCTGATGAGTGTAGCCCAGCTCTGAGGCTATGAGTCTGGGGCAACTCCATCACTCTGCTCTGGGAATTCAGAAGCCCACCTGGGACTCCCTCTCTCTCTGTCTCTCTCTCTCAGCGCTGCCACTGCTGCTACATGGGGCTGTATCTAAACAGGGAGAGATGACAAGGTCGACCAAATAATTAACGAACGGGCAACTTAATGAAATAAATAACTCCGCACGCCTGAGTCAACTCTCTGTAGACTTCCAACACCCACAGCAGGGCTCAATAATAAGCTTTTTCGCGCTGGCCCAGGTTGCTCAAGCGGTTCAGATTTGTACTTACATGCCAACATTTATACTGGCACCATCTCAATTAAATAAAAAAGCTATTTTTAGTGACATATTCTGATTTATGACTGGATCATTTTATTAAACATGTTTTAAGCTCTTTGGAAATGACAGCAAAAACTAAAATTGATGGCTAAATAAATAGACAAAGAGAAAAGAGCAACTCCAGTGTTATGGATGTGATATTTCCCAGAAAAACATGAAATTTAATTTGACAGAGACTGTATATATGGTAATACGTTATTAAAACAACAGTTTATATTTTCTAAAACTATTAAACATAGAGGTAAGTGATCAGAAAAATATCAATCTTTAAACATGTTTTATGTTTTTAAATGAAGGAAATAAATGTGTCAGGAATGTTACCAAAAAAAGTATGAGTTTACAGTATACAACATTCATTCATCAATTTTCCTTCGGCTTAGTCTCGTTATTCATCAGGGGTTGCCACAGCCGAATGAACTGCCAACTTATTCAGCATGTGTTTTACACAGCGGATACCCCTCCAGCTGCAGCCCAGTACAGGGAAACACCAGGCCCGTAGCCAGCCTGCTGTAAGGGCTGGTTCTTTTTTTCTCAAAAAGTAAACCTTTTTACAGTGATTCAACTCAATTTCTATTTAATTATAAGATTTAAATGCTGCCTTTGTGACATTTTAAGCACTATTTTTAGCTGGATTAGCTTGTCATATGGTCATCATAACCACAATTTTTGATGGACCAAAAATATTTCCTAAAGATTTAGAATAAAGAAAAAATGACAAAATGCTTGATTTTAAAACACATATTTTTTACATAATATATCATTAGAAAAAAATAGGAAGCTGTTAAGGTCTTAAATTAAAAAACTGTGGCCTATCGTCATTTATTAGGCAAATAAACAAACCAAAAGCACATTCAGCTGTCCTCAGTTAGAATTTGGCCATTTGAATAAAAAAATACTTATAAACATAATAATAATCATAATAATAACCATAATAATATTTTAGAGCCTCATAATCTTTCTAACTATAGCCTCTCTTGTAAAAAAAAAAGTGCATTTGGAAACTCATGGATAACAGCACCAGCCAAATTAGGGTTCAAATTAATATTAATATGGTTCACTTTTGGGGCTTCACACCTGATAATAGCTCAGTTTTTTGTTTCAGGAATACGGTCCAATATTTAGAATAAAAGTTACCTGTAAAATGTTTTTTGTATTTAAAAACAATACAGTAATGAAAAATGACCGTTTCATTTTTTTTCTTGCACAGCTGGATGTTGGACTCATGAAAAATCTGTGTTAGCATTGATCAAAACTGATTAGCAACAGCCAACAGAGGATTCCGCTGGTCTTAAAACCTTTTTTCGATTAGTTATTTTTACTACTTATGATGGCATGGCAGTCAAAATAGGACAAGTGAGTTCATGTATGGTGGGTGGGTCTTCTAAACCAGCTGAACCCCCCTGGCTAAGGACCTGAACACCCATACACTCTCGCATTCACGCTCGTACACTATGACCATTTTATTTTATTCATCTATAGCGCATGTCTTTGTACTGTGGGGGAAAATGGAGCACCCAGAGGACACCCACGCAAACCCAGAAAGAACATGCAAACTCCACACAGAAATGCCACCTGATCCAGCCAGGACTCAAACCAGTGACCTTCTTGCTGTGAGGCAACAGTGCTGACCACTGTGTCGCCAGTATACAAAATACTTTGTAGAATTTTCATGAATTAATCCAAAACCCCAACAAAAATAATAAAAATAATAAGAAAATAATGTATTTTATTTAACATCTTTGAATGTGAATATGAAGAAAAACCAGTTATGGATGCGTTATATGAAATTAAAATAAAAACGTTAAAAACATTGACAGAAACATTTTTGCGTATTTTTACAGTACTGTAAAATACAAGCCCCTAGAAAGGGTTTCGATGAAAACATTTTTGTTCATGACAAGGTTGATATTTGTATGTAATTTCTCAAAGCAAAAATCCTCACAAGAGATTTTTTTTCAACTAAGAATTGGACATTACAAAACGTTTTTTATTGTAAAATAAAACGTAGAATTGTTCAATAATTAAGTAAATATCTTAAATTGAATCTAAATATGAATAAAAGCTAAATATTTAATATTATGTAACCAGAATGTGATGTCTTAAAAGCTAGTGAAAAAGAAAAGTTTTGTCAGATGAAGGGGGCAATGCGGTGGAGCAGTAGGTAGTGCCTCACAGCAAGAAGGTCACTGGTTCGAGCCTTGGCTGGGTCAGTAGTTGTTTCTGTGTGGAGTTTGCATGTTCTCCCCAAGTTCGTGAGGGTTTCCTCCGAGTACTCCGGTTTCCCCCACTGTCCAAAGACATGCGTACAGGTGAATTCGGCTAGGCTAATTTGTCCATAGTGTATCACTGTGAATGAGTGTGAATGGGTGTTTGCGGTGAGGGGTAGCAGTTGAAAGGGCATCCGCTACGTAAAACATGTGCTGGATAAGTTGGCGGTTCATTCCACTGTGGTGACCCCAGATTAATAAAGGGACTAAGCCGAAAAGAAATCCAATTAAAGATGATATTTGTTAAGGCGAAGCAGTGGCGCAATAGGCAGTGTTGTCGCCTCACAGCAAGAAGATCGCTGGGTCGCTGGTTCGATCCTCGGCTCAGTTGGCGTTTCTGTGTGGGGTTTGCATGTTCTCCCTGCGTTTGCGTGGGTTTCCTCCGGGTGCTCCGGTTTCCCCCACAGTCCAAAGACATGCGGAACAGGTGAATTGAGTAGGCTAAATTGTCCGTAGTGTATGAGAGTGTGTAAATAAGTGTGTGTGTGGATGTTTCCCAGAGATGAGTTGCAGCTGGAAGGGCATCCGCGGCGTAAAAACTTGCTGGATAAGTTGGCGGTTCGTTCCGCTGTGGCGATCCCGGATTAATAAAGGGACTAAGCCAACAAGAAAATGAATGAAATTTGTTAAATTTTAATTAAAGATTACAAAAATGTTAACACCAACTTCAAATTATATTTCTTACTTGCTGAATGTCTTTTTTTTTTTAAATCATCAGAATACACCAACAAAGTGTAAAACATCCCATGAGTCTACATGTTTAAGTTTACGAGGAATAAAAAAACATGTAAAAGCTCAACAACTGTAATGTGTAGTGACAGCATGGAACTGGTCTGATAGGGGGAACTGACAGTTCCGTCAACTGGCTCAAAACTCTCTCAAACTGGCCCCAGGCCATTAGGCCATCCTTATTTGTAGAGGCCTGTACTGTACTGTACTGAGAAAAACAAGAGAACGAGAAAGAGCAGTGTATGTAAGGGTGAAGGACCGCACATTGGCATGATGGCACTCTGCATAATCACTCTAAACATGGAGCCAAGACTCTGATTTATCACCTAAACTGGGTTTACGTCACACTACGGACACTTCTGTCTTCTTGAACTACCTTGCTCTACCCTTCCCCATATTTCTTCCATTCTCCTTCGCTATTTCTTTTTAGTTTTTTTCCACAACACTCTCACATCAAGAAGGGAGCTCAAATTTTCACCTTCCCTCATCACTTTCATAAACACCTCACTCACCCTTAAATCTGAATAAATGTAAATGAGCAAAGGTGCCATTTTCATAATTTACCTCTTTCTTTAATGGACCTATGTATAGCACATACTCTTGTAGCATGATGAACACAACCAGTTTTAATGTAACTTTAACACTACCCAGAAAGAAGTGTTTAAAGAGACATTTTTACTGTTACAGATGGTCATTGGTAAGCAGAACCAGTCCAAATAACCTCTGTCAGCGGGACAGTTGATTTGCAGTAAGTCTATTTAAAATAGACACAGATTTAAATATAAGATTTCATTATGTTTCTCAAATTTAATGGTGAAATAAATTTGCATAATTTAATGTCTTTCTTCACAACCTGTTGGGATTGAAGTGTTATTTCTAATTTTGCTGGTTAATCACTGTTCTATCCACAAACTACCCCACTACCATATTACATATAATAAATATACATTGCACTGCTTTAGTCAAAACGTTAAAGCTAAAACCAACTGATCCATGTTACTTCAGCATAACGCAATTAATCACAATGTAAATTGCATACAGTACAATTAGCATACATTAAGGAGCCACTATGGGGTATTGAAATCACTTCCAAATGCATTCATAACTTATACTTTCTAATTGACAAGCACTTGCACTCTCTGTATTATGAGTGACGATACTGACCACACATTTCACAAGATAATATATTTGTCACCGACTCCCAGGATCTGTCACACACCAAATCCTCTGCCATGATCTTGTCAGTCATCTCACTTTAATCTTGACACTTAGGGTTACAGAAGCTAAACAGATTTAACAGCACTGCATTGATCCGCATTGAGCAATCATCGACACAGTGGTCAAGGTGTGCTGGGTTGCAATGAGGAATGATTACCTCAAATATACGTCATCATGCAGGTTTGTGTGACGTTCATTTAAATAGAATACATTTACCTCTTTATCTTTTGCTCAGCATGTTTGCCAACCTATGCTTTTTTTTGTTTTCCTCTTTTGCTGGGTGATATGACAGAACTCTCAAATAACCATATATGTCATCTAATATCTTGATATGTCATGATTAGGGCTGGGTGATTTGGCCTAAAATCAAAATCTTAAAAATTTTAACTCGGTTACGATTAATCAATGATTATTTTATTCATTTATTTAATTTTTTTTGCCCTTAAAGTTCACTGACACTGATTTGTACAGTAAATATGCTCACATCTTACAAGTAAGAGATTTTTGATTGAAGGGAACACACACTATCTACTATCTTTGATTATTTATTGAACATC